ATACCAATCCAATTTCTGATACCAGCTCAGCAGCTTGAAGAGCTGCATGCAGCTGGTACGTCTGGTGTGGTGGAAGGGGAAGGGGGATGGAAGTGGAATGGTTGGGCAGATCAAGGCCCCCACAGTGAGACAGGACTGTGGCTGGGGCAGAAACAGGGACAGAAGCTGGAGCAAGCGCTGCACAGACAGGGTGCGGCGGACACCAGACAGAGCCACGGCTCATCTGGGAGGCGCGAGGGGGCAGTGACTCACATCACTGTGCACCACTTCTCTAGAAGCTGCTGGTTCGGTGTCCAGCACTCACCCACTGATTCGGCGGCTCTTGCTGCTCCTGCTGCTCATTCAGGAAGATACTGGGGGATGGTGTGCCCCCGGATTTGGGTGGGGCATAGTAGGCTTTTTCCAGTGGGGCAGGGCTGCGTGTGGGGCTGGCAGTGGCAGCCACCCCAAAATTCGCCATAGCCCCGCCAACCCAACCACCATCCCAGCACTGCCGCCACCCGTGCAACCCTGCCCCGCTGGGAAGAACCTGCCCTGCCCAGATCTGGGGGCACACACCGCCTTCCATGCCCTCCTGGATGAGTGGCAGGAGCAGTGGTGGGAGCTGCCGGGTGAGCACTGGACAAGCTGCCAGACCAGTGGTTCCCAGACCAGTGACACACAGCTGTGGGAGCTGCTCTCCCCCTCCCCATGCCCCCTTGGACCAGCGGCGGCTCTGTCCCATGTGCGCCTCACCCTGGCTAGTCCCAGCCCCAGCCCCAGCCCCAGGCCTCAGCCTCAGTTCCACCCCTCCCTCACCACAAGGGTCTTGATCTGCCCACCCACACTCCTTCCCTCGCCCTCCTCTTCCACCTCACCAGACTTACCAGCTCCATGCAGCTCTAAAAACCGCCCGGCGGTGTTCCTCAATGCCTACATGCTGCGCCGCGTCTGCATGCGTGCACGGGCTATTTATCAGCCAAATTATCAGCCATATCAGGCCGATTTCCAATACAGTCAATTTTCCTTATATTGGTGCCAATCCAATATTGGACCAATGTATTGATGCATCTCTAGAAGCACTCTATTCCAGCATCCAAATCATTAATAAACACATTGAACAGCATTAGGCCCAGGACAGACCCCTGTGGTACTCTATTTGCAAACCACCTGCCATTCTGACCTGGATCCATTTATAATTACCCTTTGCTTGTAGCTACAGCCACTTGTCTGTCTATCCACCTTACAATAGTTTTGTCTAAACCATCTTTCTCCATTTCGTTTATGAGAAGGTCGTGTGGGACTTTGTCAAAAGCGTTGCTGAAGTCCAGGTACACTATACAGGCAACCCCTACTTACTGCAGTTTCAGTTAGTGCTATTTCACTATAGTGCTCATTTAAAATTGATACCTGATTCCACTGAGAGCTCAGCCAGTTTTGCTATAGCGCTCAGTGGAATCAGGAAGTTTCAGTGGGCAGGCAGGGAGAAGCAGTGGCAGCATCAGATGGGGGGTAAGTGAGAGGCAGTGAGTGGGGGCGTGGGCATGAAGGCCCAGGGCAGGGTGGCAGGAGTGTGGGCCCAGGCTGGCACATGGTGCTGAAGCAGGTGGGGGGTGGGGAGAAGTGGCGGCAACAAGAGGGGAGGAGCCGGGGCCCAAGCCAGTGCCCAGGGCCAGGGCCAGCGGGGGCCCGCACCCAGGGTGGAAGGCAGGAATGTGAGGCCTTCGCTGCTGTGTGGGGCCTGTGCTGGGGCCCAGAGCCAGGACCAGCAGGAGCCTGCACGCAGAACGGGGTGGCAGGAGCACCAGTGCCTGGTCTAGCACATGGTGCTGAAGCGGGTGGTGGGGTGGGGGGAAGCGGCAGCAACAGAAGCGAGGAGCGTGGGGCCTGCGCCAGTGCCTGGGGCCAGGACCAGTAGGGGCCTGCACCCAGAGTGGGGCAGCAGGAGTGCAGGGCCGTCACCGGTGCCTGGGGCCAGGGGTGGCAGGGACCGGTGCCTAGAACAGGCCCCTTGCCAATCAGTACCCAGGCTGGCAAGTGGGGCCAGAGAGGCCAGCGGACAGGTGAGGGGGGTGGGGAGAGGCAGCAGCAGTGAGAAGCGGTGAGTGGGGGGCAGGCATGAGCGCGCGACCCGTGCCAGTGCCCAGGACTAGGACCACTGGGGGCCCAGAGCAGGGAAGCAGGAGCACAGGCCCAGGCTGGTACATGGGGCTTGAGCACCAGCAGGTGGACAGGGGAGTGAGGAGAGGCAGCAGCAGGGCAGGTAGTAACCAGTAAATCTCTATTTACATTAATTTCTATGGGGAAATGGGTTCTGCTTAACACTCATTTTTTCTGGAACCAATTAAAAGCATTAAGCGGGGGTTGCCTGTATCCACTATTCTGTAAATGTCACACGAGCACCTTGGAAAACCAGCTCAAGAGAGAAAACTGAACTGGTCATGAACAATGTGCTGTCAGACTAGCACAATAACCAACTGAAAAAACAAAGAACTCTTTTCTTCTCCTTTAATGATTTTCATTAACAATAACTAGTTAGAGTTTCTTATACCAGTAGATAAAGTTTTCAGACAAATATGATTTTCATATGTGGTAACCTTTCATAGGGTGCCAAAAATGTCACATTATTTGCAAAATAATATAAAATACTTCATATTATCATCATCTGTAACTTCATAACTGTATTAAATTCTAGTTGTATCACTCCAAAATCTCCAGTGTACAAATATCTAGATCTGCATGACCTCATATTTGCTGTGAATTCAACAGTTATCCTCACAGGTAATGAACACACACCTTCGAGCTTCCCACCTAAGATGTCCACCTAGCTCCAAAATCTGCTAACTTTTGTTTCATATGTCTGTACTTACTGTTCAAAACTTATTACTTTAGAGCAGAGGTGGACAAAATGCGGCCCACGGGCCAGATGCATCCAGCCAGGCCATTCTATCCCGCCCGTGGGGCCCCTAAAAAATTTAGAAAGTGAATATTTATCTGCCCCTGGCTGCCTGTCATGTGGCCCTCGATGCCTTGCCAAAACTCCTGCCCCTGCTTTAGAGTTTAAATATTATGTCACTCATTGTGGATTCAGAAAAGCAATTCTTCTATTATTTTCATTCAAAAGTTAAATTGAGATTTTGGGCTCATAAACCCCCTTTGATTCCACTGGATATGTAACATATTCCAGTACACTATAGCATAAACGACTTTGTAAATCTTTCATTCTGCATTGCATTTTATTGTATGAATAGTTAGATAGCTCCAGTGTTTACCAGAGTTACAGTATATAACTAAATTGGTGAAACATCATGAGCTTCCAAAGAGAAACAATTGTTAATCCCCCATTCACTTGTTTTACTTTTCTGTTTCTTGGTTACACTTCAAGTGTGCGTGTCACTGCTCTCATTAACAGCAGCACAGCATTGTGAATAAATCTTCCCATACTGTTTTAAAAATCTGCACCCCTCATGCTTCAGCAACTGAGAAGATCCAAGAATGTTTTTATCTCACTGGGAAAGAAATAGATGGAAATAGCCACACAGAGTCCACATGTGGCTCCTGGCTTAAAGTGTTCATAAAGGTTACATTTGGATATGATGCTGGTTGAATTGAAATACTATAATTTTCAAATACAAAGTATGAGTCATGAAGGACAAAATATTAGCTCCCCAGAAGCATTGCTAAAAATTCACGTGACGCAAGGTTAAGTTAACTGTAGTCTATTCTAAGGGCTAAGATGCTGTCCTCTGTACACTGCATTCCATGGAGCCAAATTCATACCTGATAGCACATAAATCACTCCACCACAGCGATCATTGCAGAGTTTTCAGAAGTGTGATCATTTGGCAGGAAAAAGGATTACAGTAAGTTCTAGCTGTGTTTTCTAGATGCAATAATCCAATGTTACAGTACTTCACACACAGAGCAAACACAGAACAAGTTCACTTGGTTTAAAAAAACTGAGATAAAAATATATTACTCTTATTTTTCATTACAATTAGAAAACTTTTAGGTTAGAAAGGAATAATGACTTAAGTAACTTCATTTTAGCAGGGATTTATAGTGTTACCAGAGTTAGGTTTACATCAGCATTTCCATAAAATTATATAGGCTAAAGATTCCATTCCAGGCTGGAACTTGGCATAAAAGTCCTCATCCCAAGCATAAATTTTCTACCACCACAAATCTGGTTTGGCTGGTTATATTTTATAAAACCAGAAATTAAAAAAAGCAGCAAAAGTAGAATCTTAAAATAGCAACTGTCCATTTAACAACTTATGTTAAACTGAACTCACAGTCAAGCAGATTCATCAGCATTTTGCTCCAGTTTTTACACTGGAGTTTAGTGGTGTCACTCCACAGGAATGAGGTGGCAGTCAGGCCAGTTAACTTATTAAAAGGCTAGATGCCCTTCATATTACAAACCAAATTTAAATTAGACAGCAGATAAATATATGCGAGGAGAGGCTATAAGCTCATACAAAGTATTTTGTATTTAAAATAGAAATTTTGCCATTCACATGGAGTAAGAGATCTAAAGGAAAGCAAATAAAATAAGTAAAGTCAAGTATAATGTAATCTACTCAGCAAAAGGTAGTTTGTTCATTATTTTCATAAGCATGGCTTGCTTTTCATTTAAAATGCTGTAACCTGGTTCTTGCTGTAGCCTATTTATTGCAAGTTCCATGCAATAAAATCCTTGGTGTGTTAGAATTTTACTTCAGCAAATATACATAGATTTTTTTGTTAATTAAATGTAAATATCCATTACTGCACTACTTTCACAACCATGAACTTCTAAAAGAGTGAAAGGACAAGAAGCAGTTAGAAAGCCACATCAACTAAGCTGAACTCTTTCCCTTTGGAACAGAGTAGTTTTTGTGCACCTGTAGCAAGTTCTTCATTATACTAGGATGTGCCATGAAAATGAATATAAACACCAAGATGTATAGACAGTAGCGGTAGGTCAATTAAAGTGATTTTTCAAACAAGATGTATTCTCTTAGGGAATTCTCACTTACCTGGTCTGGGTATTTGCTCCCAACTATTTCTGCCACAGTATTAAAGGAACAAGCATCTGGATAGGTCTTGGCTCCCATCTTGAGTTTAATAATAACCTTGGTGCCCCGGGAAGAGATCCGTGCCATCATTTCAGCATCTTCTACTGAAATGCAAGCTGTGGGAATCTTGGGTACATTGGACTGGTAATACTGCCACCCGGTGTGAGGGCTAAGAAAACAAAACAAAACATAGTTGTAGTTCAGTGTAACTAGCATACACTCACTAAAAGGGTATGGTTTAATTCCACAACCTTTCTGCATAACCTGTTCCAAAACTAACTCCCTCAAAAGGAGAAAACTCTTCCTAATATTCAACTTTAATTTCCCTTGCTGCAATTTGGGACCATTACTCCTTGTCTAGTCCACTGCAGCCATAGAGGGGAGTCTATTCTCATCCACTATATAACCATTCTTCGGGTATTTTAAGACTTAACAAATTCCACCCCCCATCTTTTCTTCTCCAGGCTAAGGAATCCTAGGTCTTTCAACCTGCCCTCATAAATGTCTCCCAGGCCTCTAATAGCAATATTCTACTCCAAATCTTAACAGCAATCTCACAATTTTATATCAGTTGTATGACCCAATTGCCATATTGGTCATATTCCAGGCATTTTGGCAATTATTCTGACGTAGTAGTGCTGAGGTCACAACTACAGCTTTGCATTAGCATGGGCTCTTACTGGAGGACTTGCAACTTGCCTGACTGCTATACCAGAAAAAAAAAACCTGGAAAAATACTCAAGTTCATAATCAGAATTGTTTTGTCTTCCAATCTTACAGCAAAGTGACAGACACTGCAATTTAAATTTGCTACTTCATTTATTTATGTCACTGAGACTGAAGAACAAAAATGTGTTTATTTTGAAGAGTAGTATTGAGTGACTCCAGGAAAACTAACACCCTGAAACCATGAATACAAATCCTATTTTTGGATTCCCAAGTTTTCTGAGACAATCATAGCCTGGAGACAAGAGAAAATAAGGAGAGTGTTTTAATAGACTCTGAAGAACTAAAGCAAGAATAGCATTCATCACCAGGGGTAGGACCCCATGCTCTCCTATGTAGGAATAACTTTGCCCAGGAGAGTTTTTACTCATTCTACTGTTAAAACAGCATTGTGAGGCCATGATTCCTGTCAGATTTAAAATGTGCAAAAGATCCACAATGTCCACAAGATAAGCAAAGACAGTGGCATTGATTCCTAAAGCAGACATCATACTTCCAGGGATTCCCCTCCTACAGCTGTCCTTGACACAACCTAGAAAGAGGATTCAAAATGTAAAGGTGAAAGCATACCAATTCAAATAGTTTTAGATACTCCACCACTGAGTAGAGAAGTATTGTTTCATGATGTTATAAAATGGGTAGATCACTATTGCCTAGATTACCCTTAGTCCTCTGGTTAGTCACTAGATTGTTCCCATGAGACTATCACTTTCACCATCCATCATAAGGCAGGGAACTAAGTCGGTAGGGTAGAAATCCTTGATTTTAGGAAAACTAACTTCTACAAGTTTAGGAGATTGGTGGGTAAGGCCCTGTGGGACCATGGTCTGATGAGGAAGGGGGGTCCAAGAAGAGTGGTCATCCCTCAAGGATACGATCCTTGGAAAACAAAGGATTTTTTTTTTGTTCATAAGGTAGCAAAAGAGCTGGGAGACCCCCTTGGCTCAATAGGGAGGTCATGGACCTCCTGAGAATGAAATGAGAAGTTAATAAGTGATGGAAGCTGGGAATTACCTCCAAGGAAGAGTACACAGGAATGGCCCACATGTGTAGGGAGCGGATTAGAAAAGCAAAGGCAGGAACAGGATTCAAACTGGCCACAGAAATCAAGGACAATAAAAAGTCCTTCTTCAGATATGTAGGAAGCAGGAGAAAAAAATAAGGGAAACGTAAGACCCCTGCTGAATACGAGACAGCTAATATCCAAAACCCAAGAGAAAACCAAACTCCTAACAGAATACTCTGCAATGGTTTTCCACCAGGGTGTTAGCTTGTCTGACAGGATGCAAGAGGGGGTGATCACTCACCTACAATCAGCAATGATCTTGTGAGGGAATATCTAGAGAGGCTGGATATCTGTAAGTCAGCAGGACTGGCTGAACTACACGCAAGAGTGCTGAACAAACTAGCTGATGTAACTGCATGACCAAAGGCAAAACTTTTGAGTACTCATGGCACTCAGGAGAGGTCCCAGAAGACTGGAAGAGGGCCAATGTGGTGCCTATCATCAAGAAAGGAAGGAAAGAGAACCCAGGAAATTATAAGCCAATCAGTCTGACCTGGATCCCTGGAAAAATCCTGGGAAAATCCATCAAAAAATCCATCAGTGATAGGTTAACAGAAGGCAGTATTGTAAATGACAGCCAACATGGCTTTGTTGCATGCAGGTCATGCCTGACCAACCTCATCTCCTTCTACAATCATGTAACTCGCCACCTGGATAAGAGAGATGAGGTTGATGTCATATATTTGGATTTTAAAAAGGCCTTTGACTTAGTCTCCCACGATGTCCTCATGGTAAAATTTGGAATTTGCATTCTCAACAATTTAATGGTCCAGTTGCTAGGAAACTGACTCCAAGGCTGGACCCAGAGAACGTTAATAGACAGAACTGAGTCGACATGGCAAAAGGTGACCAGTGGGGTCCCACAGGGTTCAGTACTCAGACCAGGGCTTTTCAACATATTCATCAATGATTTGGATATGGGTGCAAAAAGCATCCTGGCAAAGTTCATGGACGACACCAAGTTATGAGTGAGTGCAGTCACGCTGGAGGACATGCTGACCTGGACAGGCTTGTAAGGTGAATGGATCAAAACTTGATGATGTTTAACACTGAGAAATATAAAGTGCTCCATCTGGGGAAAAATAATCTGCAACACACTTACAGGCTTGACAGTGCTACAATAGCTAGTACCACAACTGAAAGAGACCTGAACGACCACAGAATGAACATGAGCCAACATTGGATGCTATAGCCAGCACAGTAAACAAAACACTGGCGTGCATCTACCGATGCATCTCAAACAAGACCAAGGATGTCATCCCCCCGCTCTATGCAGCATTGGTGAGGCCGCAGGTGGAGTACTGTGTCCAGTTCTGGATGTCACACTTCAAAAAAGATGTAAAGAATCTGAAAACAGTCCAAACGAGGGCCACATAAATGATCAGAGGTCCAGAGAACAAGCCATACAAGGAGAGGCAGCAGGGGGAGGGAGATTGATCCCTGCTCACAGGAGCTGCTTGCTGCTAGGCAGGGATCAATGTCCCGTGGGGAAAATGTCCCTCAACCCCTGCTCTACCATTGTAAAGCTGGGGCTGGAAGATCCTTATCTCACAGCTTGAACCCTGTGGTCATGGGACCTGGGCTGGGAGATCCTTATCTCCCAGTGCCAACTCCACAGTCATGGGGCCAGCACAGGGCAATCCTTTTCTTCCAGCACCAGCTCTATGACCACAGAACTCGCACTGGTAGATAAAGATCTCTCAGCACTGGCCCCATGACCGTGGAGCTGGTGCTGGGAGATAAGTATATCATTAACTCAGTTATCAGACAGGGCTGCCTACTGTTCTTTGCAATGCAAATGATTATGGTATGTTGAATACATGCAGTTTTGAGACTCCTTTGCAACAAATTATTCTCACTATGAACTAGAAGTGTAAATTTGGAAGGGAACATACAAAGACATGTAAGATACATAATTAGTGAGCAGAGACTGAAACAAACTAATGGCATCATTCACCTTCCTCAAACTCCATGATATGGAAGATTCCTGATACGACCAACCACTTTGGAATTTCTTAACAGAAGTTAGGGTAGCTAACTTGAGATGCTTAATGTGTAAGGTGGGCAGGTCTGGGCACAGAATCTAGACCCTATTAGAAGACTGAAAGAAAGGTAACAAGTAATGAAATCATTAGAAACATTACTTGCTGTAAAGCTACCTGACAGATCTTGGCAACATATATCAAGATTTATTTTTCTGGAAAGGTCACACACTATTATTGTAGTCAATTACTTCTCCAGATATATTGACTTGTCTTTATTCTTACACTGCCCTCATTGGAACATTTTTGAGAAAGTTCACTCCTAATTGCGAAGACATAGAATTTCTGAAGTCTTCCCATCTGAAAATGTGATTCTGTTTACCACTGATATGTGCATGCATACTGTTTGCAAAAGAACTTCACATTTTTAACATCAATATTTGTACCCACAGAGCAGAAGTACAGACTTTAGAAAGAATGTATGCGAGTGAGTGAGACAGAATGCAATTTGCTAGATTTGTAAAATGGAAAACAAAGTCCACCCTGTAGCATGATACTGACCTCTAAAATCACTGGACCTATATATATAATTTCTAGTATACTGTCATCACTGCTTGCGTCTGAACTCTTTTCAACAGAATTTCTGACAGGATGAAAATTAAGCAGTCACAATGTAGAATCAACACAACTTAAACTTAACCTTAAGGAGCTGAGAAAATGAAATGCTGGAATAATAACTAAGCAGCATAGAATAGGAATTTAAACTCCCAAAGCTTGGCACAGAACAAAACCACTTCCTGAACTAAGACAAGGGAAAAAAAATTCTGATCAAAAGCTCCCAGGCATTTGGAATTTGATAGATTCCCACAACTTACATAGAGACTGCAAAGCAGGGGGGAGGGGCAGAAGTACCAGAATCATATGCAAGATTTCCCAACAGAAGCAAGGAGCAAAAGGAATATGCTGTCAGGCATTGGTGATGTGTAAGGGGTGCACACAGGTGCACGTTCACTCCCTGAGCATGGTGGTGCACCCCTGTGAAAAGCTGTCTCTCACCACTCCACCCCTCCTCTGCCACCGATGGTGCCTGTGGGTGGTCCACGATTGCCGCTGGCCACCACCAGTGCTGCTGGCAGTGTCTGTGCACGGCTGCCAACCACTGGTCGGTGCTCACCACACTGTCCCCCCACTGCCAACAGTGCTGTGACAGCTCCCCACTTGCCTCCACCATGCTCCTGCTGCCGACAGCGCCGGCACCGGCTGCAGGTGCTTGCCGTGCCCCTGCAGCCTCCAGGGGCACGTGGCATTCATGCCATCAGAAAATGAATCCCTCTCTCAAAGAGCGCAACATGAAAACTCAATAGAAGTGAACATAGGGTTCAGAAGACTGATCAG